TCCCTCGTTCACGTGCTCATTTTCCTGATTGTTTATATTAGTGGGTTTTCACTTGTCATGTGACTTTCACTTGTGAGTTTATGGCTCTCATCTTTCTCGAAGATTTTTTGTGACCTCTATTTTCTCTACATTTACCTATTTGTCTCACTTCTTCAACAAATCATGCGTCGACTCTAGGAGATTCTTTGAGAGCGACATCTTAAATACCCAATTTCACGTCCTATTTATTAATGTGGTAACCACATCAGACATTTGAAGGTCCTTTATGCCAAGAGTAGAGCGACTAAACTTGGCCAAATAAATTTGTAAGAGCTTATATTTGTCTTGGACAATCTATATCAGCACAATCTCTATCTTCTATATTCTCTTACTACTCAAGAAATATGCCACAGAGTTCCTAGAGAGCTCATCAAAAATTTTGATAAACTAGAGTGCAAGAATAGCTACCCAGTTTCTAGCATATTTCCTTAATGTTGATGGAAAAGATCGACACATCACTGTATCTAGGGTTGCATACAGTCTCATCAAATTGACGAAAGTATGCAGTTATCAAACCAATCCATAACTCAATTATATGCCTATATCATTTGCTGTTTGAAGCCTTTTAGTAGATGGATTGCCATGATCTCTAGTGCAAAGGGGTTTTTTTCTATAACCATTTGCTTGCTTCTATCCTTTCTTTTTGATAATACATCATCTGTCTTCTGGGCCATCATTTCCTCCATATTGTGTTCCAAATCTACCAATAAGATACGAAACTTATGGGTTGTGACTACGAGAGACCCTTGGTTTGCCATCATTGGCTAAGTAACTGGTGGCAACCGTTTGTGTCACTTGGGGTCGATGTCTGCCTGTATCTTGTGGTGGAAGTTTTGGTGGATTGGGCCGACCGCTCTCTGAGTTTGATTTTGTAAACGAGTTATCACGGCTACTAACTGAGCTTTTAGAATGCTAAACTGACTCTTTGTTACATATTGAGGATGAGGCTATGGTGGTAGATCTTGATCCTGGGCGATAGTCTTTGACTCTGGCCTTCTTTCTGACTAAGCACGTATTGCTCCTTGTTTACTTTTTTGACATAGCTTATATATTTAGAAGTTCCCATAGACGGGGCCAATGAAATAACATTGAAATAACTTTTCGACTTCCTTGATGGAACAAGACGACTTCTGCTACTCCGATGAATAATAAAATAGAGAATTCCAGTAAGAAATTCTACAAAAGGTCCCTCATACCTGGTTTGCCTTGGTATTTTAGGTGACTTTTTGGCCGTGTAACCGCCAAGCAGTTTTCCACCCAAGTGTACGGTGGTTACCTCCTACTTACATGTATAGCGGTTACTTCTTATCCACGTGTATAACAGTACTTGCATGTATAGTGATTGCCTCTCATCCACATATATAGCTATTACTTCCCACTCATCAGGCAATTAACGAACTTAGAGATAGTCGTCATACGATTTCTCATCTATCAAAATAATATCAGAATGATTAAGGAATAGAGTGGTAGATCGAGTTTCCTACTGATCGATCATCTAATGGTCAATCGACTATCTTAGTAGTCATTCGATTGACATGGTATTTGGTAGGTCATCTCGATAGTCGGTCAACCATCCAATGTTTCTATCTTATCCAAATATTAATGAAACACTATAGATTCATTGTTACTATGCAATCAATTTTTAGGACAAATCACAACCTTAACTATATTTGCACTCAACGAATTCCTAAAAGGAATCAAGAATCCTACCACTAGTAGGTAATGCAGTCTCGAAAGTAATCATAGATATTTAAATAGCTAACACATCTTTAGCAATTTAGGGGACAATCTTATATCTATACATATTCAATTTTCACCACAGTAATTTGTCGAAGAACTTACCGATCAAATCTTCAAAACGATCATTTAAGTAATCTACTGAATCATTCTAGCAATTAACAATAAAATCTATAAACTAAGTCAAAATTAAATAATTAATTGAGTGACTACACTAGAAAATTAAGATACAAATAAACAAAAAATTGTCCACTAAAAATTTAAGGGAATCCAGCATAAATTAGAACAAAACAGCACATTTGTCAATAAAAATATAATTAACAATTTTGAAAAATTGGCCAAAATTCAAGAAAGTTATTAGTAGAAGGAAAAGAAACTTGTGTCAGTTTGGAATTAAAATCTAAATTTAACTGTCCACTAAATTGTAATGAGCGGTCGATGAATATGATTCAACAATAGTTGTTCAACATTTCTCCCAATTTGAGGGTTTTGCATTCATAGTTATGATCACTAATGGATATTTGAGTATGATTTAATTAATTAATTGACATGGATAATTGTGTATTTTGGTATTGAGTTTAATTTGTGCACGTATCTTTTTAACTGGGACGTGTTTAGTTTTAATTCAATTAAATAAAAATTAAAATAATTTACTTTATATTTATTATTATTATTATTATTATTATTATTATTATTATTATTATTATTATTATTATTATTATTATTAGACAATTTGACAATTTGAAATGATTCATAAAGATTGAAATCTAAACCAAACAATTTCGAGCGATTTGGTTCGGTTCAAAACTAAAACATTAACTAATCTGCGTGGATTCAAAGCAACGTTTCAAAAAAGTGATTGTGATTTGATTTTGCGAATTGATGATTTTGTTGTTCAAATCTAGCTTTCTGTGTGGAACAAAAGAAAAAAAAAATAATGGAATTATATGAAAAAGAAAATATGCAAATTGATAAGTACAATTTGTGCATTTATTTAGGCCACATTATTAAGTTTATATGCCGTCAATTTATTAATTTCTATTTAACTTGGATTAATTTTATTTTGATTTTAGTGACGAACCTGTTTGAAGCAAGTGGAAAGGAAGAAGGACATAGTCGATTAAAATTTATGATTTGGGATTAAATTCCACAAGTTTGAAATTGAGGAGGAGATTGGTTGCACAAATAAAATTCATATCAAGGACTAGATTTCATTAAAAGGAAAAATTAATACCTTGAATTGAAATATCTTATTAATTGGGCTAGTCCAATTGATACAAGAAGGCAGACACGTTGAAAATAAGAGAAGAAGTGGGGTTCTTTTGAAAATAAAATAGGGTTGGCTGATGAATTATACACACACTCACACACACGAACACACAGACAGAGACGGCAATTGCAAGGGAGGGGAAAGAGAAAAAAAAAAAGACTGCCGGCTGGTTGAAATTACTCATACAAGCACGTGAATTGCCGGCTGCTTGGGATAGATTATACATGCATCAATAACGGCTAGTGGGGGAGACAAAAACCATATAAAATGGGGCTGCCTTCTGCTTGAAGAAACTATCCTCATGCATTAGAAAAGAGAAGTGGAGAACAAGGGTGGCTGCTGGTGAATTAAAACCTTGGGCTGAATTTATCAATTCATACACTAGGTTGGTGGCTGTAACTTTGGAGATACAAATCACGCAATTTGGTAGCGACCTTGGGGGAGGAAAAACATTGACAACAAGCTTAAGGAGGGTTGTTTCTGCTATAATATATATACATACATGCATATGAGCGGTTGGAAAAAAATTGTAGAGAGAAAACCTACAAACATTGGATGATTTCTGTGCTTATTTGGAGAAGAGAGGGCTGCCTTTTTGCTAAGTAAATATATATACCAGCCAACAAAAGACAGGAAAGTGAGGATTTGAGGAAACATGCAAACAGTGGCCGAAAATTGTGAATCAAGTCTGAAAAAAAATTGCAGCTGAATTGGAGTTTCTGGAAAGAATATTGGACGGCTACTGTTGGAAAAAAAAGGTGGCAGTTTAGGGAATTATTGAGAGATACACACAATTAAAAGGCAGTTGCTTGGAGATTGATTTACACACCAATTAGGGGACAAATGTGACAGCTAAATTGGGCATAAAGTTGAGAAATAAACACGCAAATTGAAGGGAATTTTGAAGAAACAGCACGGCCACGATGGATTCACTTTGGAAAAATTAATAATGCTCCGTCAATTGGTGATCTCCTTCCACTTTTGTTTATTTAATTCTCGCATCATGTTTGGCTAATTCCTTTTCACGTATTGGATGATGACAAAATTGTTTAATTTTTAGTTTTAATTCGAGACCTATGTTTTTATGTTAATCATTGCGTTGTGATTCCAATAATATGCATAATTAGATTGTTTTCATGTTTGCACACTATAAGGATAATAAGTTGCTTTTTCATAGTGTTGGAAAACTCACGATAGGTAGAACGCTATTATTGGGACACATGGGCAATAAATATTAGGAATAATATTTGTGGCGTGTGCAATCTTATATGATAATCCTAAATGTCAATGCATGTCTGGCATATGAATTCGGACTAGGAATGTGATCGTCTCGTGGTAATCAAAGGTTTATTATATCTTGGGAAAGAATAATAAATAGATAAATAAATAAAAATGGAATTATTGTTCATTGCAATTGTATAAATTGAGATAATTATTATTGGTTGAGAATTAGACCTAAGAATTGATCAATGGCGTCGGAAATCCAATATGTTTACACATTTGAATTTTTAAACCAAATTTAATTATTTTCACAAGTTTTAGTTATAAAAATTATTTAGCTATTCCTTCGATCGTCTTTTAGTTACAAATACAAATTAAATATATCAAATATACTAAAATTGATTCTTATTCCCTGTGGGACGATAACTCTCTCATCACGATTATTACTTGTACAATGAACCCGTACACTTGCGGGATTTTGACGAACAAGTTTTTGGCGCCGTTGCCAGGGAATAACGGTGTTAATTTTAATTATTAGATATTTTAGATTCGTTTTTATTTTTTTTATTGTTTTTATTTTCATTTAATTTTTAGTTGTGTTTAGGCTACCATTACACTTTTTAGGCAATTTTAGTTTATGCAAAATCCCGACGAGCCAGATCTCTTTTCGATAGACAACGAAATCGAAAGAACATTTAGAAATCGCTGAAGAGTTCAACGTCAAGCAAGGAGAATGGCTGATAACCAAAATCAACCACAAAATCAAGTTCAGCTTCATGAGCTAGTATCGCAGCCAAATCAACCGAGAGCTAACCAGAGCGAAGCTCCTGTCTTAGTTGGAGATTACATTAATCCAATTCCCGTACCAGTGCAACATGTTGTGGTATACCCTCCCTTTGGACAACCTAATTTCCACCTTCGACCAGACGTCATCAATTTGTTCCAAAATCACCAAGACATTAGGTTCTTTGGAAAAGCCAAGGAAAATCCTCATGAGCATATTTCTGCGTTTCTCATGTTATGTGAAGTGATCAGTCACGAAGGGATATCAGCAGATGCATTCCGAATGAGATTATTCCCTCACACCTTGAAGGACGCTGCTAGAAAATGGTTTCTTTGTTTACCACCAGGGAGAATTCAATCATGGAACGATATGGTTCAAAAATTCACGATAAAATTCTTTCCACCTTCTCGAATTCACCAAATTAGGAATGACGTTCACACCTTTAGGCAGAAAGATTTAGACAGCTATCCTGAGGCATGGGAAAGGTTCAAGAATTTTTTAAGAAAATGCCCCAACCTTGACATTCCCAAGCAGGCTCAGCAATATCTTTTCTACTACAGTCTAAAACAGGAGTTCAGAAATATGATAGATGCTTCAGCAGGAGGATCAGTGATGAAACTTGATGTGGATGAAGCATATGACCTGTATGAAAAAATAGCTAAAAACCAATTGATGTGGCCAACCGATAGGGAAGCTCCATGGAAAACATCAGGGTTACACAACGTAGATGCAGTAACAGCACTGGTCGCGCAAATGGAAGTTCTTACAATGAAAATGGACAATCTATCTAAGTTAGTCAACATAGTACACCAATCGTCACATGTTTGCGAAGGCTGTGGAGCGGATCATGCTAGTACACGCTGCCCTTTGGCGTCTACACATGTTAATCAATCCGAAGAAGTAAGTTATGCACAGAACTTTCAGAGACAGCAAAATAATCCTTTCTTCAACACATTTAATCCGGGTTGGAAGAACCATCCAAATTTTTCATGGCCCAATAATCAGGGACAAGAATAGGGAGGAAGCAATCAGAATAAACCACCAGGGTTCCAACATCAACAACAGCAAGGGAAAAGGCCATTGTTGGAAGATTTGCTGGCTCAATACATTACTAAAACTGAGACCAACTTTCAAAACCAACAAGCGTCCATCAAGAATTTGGAACAACAAGTTGGACAAATTGCAGCCGCACTATCAGGTAGAGCTCAAGGGACATTGCCCAGCAATACTGAAACAAATCTTAAGGAGTAGGTCAAAGCAATCACTACACATAGTGGCGTCTAGTTACCAGAAATACATGTAAAGCGGCTAGCAACTGTCATAGAAAAAGCACCTACTATGGGCGAGGAGCAAGTGTATGAATTAAACAAGGCCGCTGAGGAAAATCAAGTTGAATCATCAGATAGTCCACATGTAAAAGCAACTGTTCCTGTTAAAACATATGTTCCTCCAATCCCATTTTCACAAAGATTGCAAAAACATAAGTTCGACAAGAAATTCCAAAAATTTTTGGATGTGTTCAAGAAGTTGCACATTAACGTACCATTTGCTGAAACTTTAGCTCAAATGCCTAGCTACGCCAAGTTTATGAAAGATATTCTATCAAATAAGAGGAAGCTGGAAGACAATGAAATAATCATGCTTACTGAGGAGTGTAGCGCAATTCTCCAACACAAATTACCACCGAAACTAAAAGACCCAGGGAGTTTTACTATTCCTTGTCACATTGGTAATTTGTATATAGATAAGACATTGTGTGATTTAGGAGCTAGCATTAATTTAATGCCTTTATCTCTTTTTTGACAACTAGGTTTAGGGAAAGCAAAATCGTCTACAGTTTCATTGCAGTTGGTTGACAGGTCGATCAAACACCCTCGTGGTATTTTTGAAGATATTTTGGTGAAGGTTGATAAGTTTATCTTCCCAGTGGACTTCATTATTCTGGATATGGAAGAAGATAGAGACGTCCCCCACATATTGGGTCGTCTATTTTTGGCCATGGGAAGAGCTCTGATAGATGTGTAAAAGGGTCAGTTGATATTGAGGTTAAATGAAGAAGAACTGACAATCAACGTGTTTCAAGCTTTCAGATTTCAGAGCGAACCGGATTCTTGATGCAGATTGATGTAATAAAAGAAGCGATGTCAGAGGTATTCAATCTAGATCACCTTCAGGATCCGCTTGAGGCTTGTTTAGTGCATTTACAAGATTTAACATCAGAAAAGGAGGAAATAGAAGAATGTGCATGTTATTTGGCAGCCATACCACCATTCTTCAAACAACCACGACTGGAGCTCTGTGAAAGACCCTCAACATCTTTGCCATCTGTACAGTAAGCTCCAATTCTTGAACTCAAACAGTTGCCCACCCATCTTCGCTATGCATACTTGGGGGAAAAAAATTCACTTCCAGTAATTATCTCAAACAATCTTACAGAATCAGAGGAGGATCAATTGCTGAGGATGCTTCGAGAGCATAAGACAGCAATAGGATGGACGATATCGGATATAAAAGGAATCAGCCCTTCACTTTGCATGCAAAAGATACTAATGGAAGATGATTACAAAGCTTCAATTGAGCATCAACGCAGATTAAATCCGACTATGCAGGGGGTGGTAAGGAAAGAGGTATTAAAGCTTCTGGATGCAGGGATCATCTATCCCATATCAGACAGTCATTGGATGAGTCTAGTACAGGTCACCGAAAAAGGGAGGGATCACAGTGATTCGAAAACAATGAGCTCATCCCGACACACACAGTTACGGGTTGGAGTGTTTGCATTGATTATCGTAAACTCAACAACGCCACAAGGAAGGATCACTTTCCCCTTCCTTTCATTGATCAGATGCTGGAGAGACTTGTTGGACATGCGTACTATTGCTCCCTGGATGGTTATTCGAGGTACAACCAAATTCCTATAGCGCCAGATGACCAAGAGAAGACGACATTTACATGCCCTTATGGCACTTTTGCTTATAGGAGGATGCCCTTCGGTCTCTGCAATGCTCCTGCCACCTTTCAACGTTGTATGATGTCTATTTTCTCGAATATGGTGGGAAATATCATTGAGGTGTTTATTGATGATTTCTTAGTATTTGGAAAATCATTTAAGGAATGCCTTGAACATTTCGAAAAAGTGTTAAGCGGTGTGAAGACACAAACCTTGTGTTAAATTGGGGAAAATATCATTTCATGGTTCAGGAAGGGATTGTGTTAGGACATTTAATTTCAGCACGGGGTATTGAGGTTGATAGAGCTAAGATACAAGTCATCGAAAAACTACCACCGCCTGTAACAGTAAAAGGAGTTAGAAGTTTTCTGGGTCACGCTACGTTCTACCGTCGCTTCATCAAAGACTTTTCCAAAATCTCGAAGCCATTGTGCAACTTATTGGAAAAATGGGCCTCATTTCACTTCTCTGAGGAGTACTTGACAGCTTTCAACACCTAAAAAGAAAAATTGGTTTCTGCTCCAGTATTGGCTTCTCCAGATTGGAATTATCCGTTCGAGCTTATGTGTGATGCCAGAGATCACGCAGTGGGCGCATTGTTGGGTCAACAAAAGGAGAAAAGTTCTCATGTGATTCACTATGCTAGTAAGACTTTGGATAAGGCTCAAATGAATTATGTGACTATAGAGAAAGAGCTATTGGCAGTAGTGTTCGCCGTTGACAAATTCAGATCATACTTGATTGGGTCAAAAGTGATTGTCTATATAGATCATTCAGCGTTAAAATATCTAATGAGTAAGAAGGATGCAAAGCCGAGACTTATTTGTTGGATACTCCTATTGCAAAAGTTTGATCTGGAAATTAGAGATAAAAAAGGGAGTGAGAATGTTGTGGCAGATCACCTCTCACGCCTTGAATCACATGAGTCAAATTCTACATTGGAGATCAATGAAGTCTTTCCTGATGAAATGCTCTTTCAGATTATCACTACACCATGGTACGCCGATTATGTTAATTATTTGGCCCGCTCCATCATCCCACCTGATTACTCGAGTCACCAAAAGAAGAAATTCTTTAGTGACCTAAAACACTACTTTTGGGATGATCCAATTCTTTATAGAAGGGGTCCAGACCAGATCATACGCCGTTGTGTGCAAGAGGTGGAGTAGCACCAAGTATTAGAGTCATATCACTCTGCACTGTATGGGGGCCACTTCGCAGCAACCAAAACAATAGCAAAAGGACTGCTATCGAATTTTATTGGCCTACGTTGTTCAAGGACGCCCATTATATGTTGAAACATTGTGATAAGTGCCAGAGGATTGGAAATATCTCAAGGAGGAACGAGATGCCTTTGAACAGTATTTTGGAGGTTGAAATATTCGACGTTTGGGATTGACTTCATGGGACAATTTCCTCCATCCTATTGTCAACAATATATACTGGTGGCAGTGGACTACGTGTCCAAGTGGGTTGAAGCTGTGGCTTTGCCAACTAATGACGGTCGAGTAGTGACTCAATTTTTGAAGAAAAATATTTTCACGAGGTATGGCACCCCGAGGGCAATTATTAGTGATGGTGGAAAACATTTTGTAACCGCTTATTTGCTTCGTTGTTGGCCAAATATGGAGTGAAACATCGTGTCTTGACTCCATACCACCCTCAGACTAGCGGGCAGGTGGAAATCTCTAACAGGGAGTTAAAGAAGATTCTCGAAGCTACGGTCAGTGCATCACGTAAAGATTGGGCTAAGAAACTAGACGATGCACTTTGGGCATATAGAACAACATTTAAGACTCCAATTGACATGTCTCCATATCGACTGGTATTTGAAAAGGCTTGTCATCTGCTGGTTGAGTTAGAGAATAAAGCATACTGGGCGACACATTTGCTTAATTTCAATATGAGAGCAGCAGGAGAAAAGAGGGTTCTACAACTTCATGATCTAGATGAGTTTCGTTTGGATTCTTATGAGAATGCAAAGATTTACAAGGAAAAGACCAAGAGATGGCACGACAAGCATATAAGGGAGAAGGAGTTTGAGGTTGGTCAGCAAGTATTGATGTTCAATTCACGCCTCAAGCTTTTTCCGGGAAAGTTAAAGTCTAGGTAGTCGGGTCCATTCACAGTAGTAGCTGTGTTTCCACATGGTGCTGTGAAAGTGATGTCTCAAGATCAACAAAGGAGGTTCAAAGTAAATGGACAACGGTTGAAAGCTTATTGGGGAGGTGACTACTTCAATGAAAAAACAACCGTACCACTTGATAATGAAGAGTAGCTAGAACAACAAAGTCTAGCTAAAAACTATAAATTAAGCGCTTATTGGAAGGCAACCCAATTTCTAAACCTTTTATTTATTTTGTTTTTTGCATCGTATTGCATATAGACTTGCTTTAATTATTAGTTGCATTAGATTTATGCACGTTTTAATTTATAGAGTTTCATCATCCGATCATGTTTTCATTGAGGCCCTTAAATATAATGTTGATTATTTTGAGTGTTTGGGTTAAGTAACGCATGTTTTAGGTTATTTGATCTCTAGTGTTTGATTTGCTTGCCATATGCAGGAACATGATGTCGTGGAACACTCAGCCCAACATCGACCAAGGGGAAAGCATGATGAGAAATATTATCTAGCCGTTACCTACAGTACCTTCCACGTTCAATAGAAAAATTCGGGGAGTACCTTCGTCCTTTTCTTCCCCATCCCCTTACATTTTTACTTATGTTTTAAGACATTATTGAGTTTGACATCACGATGAAGTGAGTTGATTCATGCACTTGATAGATTGAATTAGTTGGACATAGATGCTTTACCAAAATTATACTAATTAATTATCCTTATACCAAATTTAGCACAATTTGGAAAGATCTTACTGTTGTAGGAAAATAGGAATGTGAATGTGGATTCCTTGTGTGAAAATTTTGTGTGGATAGTCTGAGATTAATAAGATAAAATTGGGTGAAAGTCTTAAATTGGAGGTCGATTTGCTTGAATAGGTGTGTGATAAGGGACATTGTACTAATCAAGGCATATTTTTTGAAATTTAAGATTTTTATAAGGGGCTTTTATGACTCGAGCAATTAAGCTTGCAAGCGTATCTTAAAACTTGGTGCCCTAAAGTCATCTAATTTGGGAGTCATCGGCTTAAAGCTCGTTACAGGGGTTACTCAAAAAGCAATCAGAGATGAAATTGTCCTAAAAATAGTTCTCTTCAATGCCTTTTTGACTTGGGTTATTAAGCCTATAAGGGTATTTAAAAACCTGGTGCCCTAAAGTCATCTGACTTGGGAGTCATCG